GATCTGCTCTACATAGAAGAGATTGCACAGTACAAAGAAGTTAGCAAGTGAGTACATACATATTGAAGGTTTCTTAATTCTGCTGTACAGTGCAAATAAAAAACATTTATATGAAATTTGAACATAAAACTTTGGAAAGTTTTTTTTACACATGAATAAAATCAAATGCGACATAGTATCTAAAAGTACAGAACAGTAAGTTTTATACCATATTATGCACTAATGTTCCCATATATATTACACGTGCACTGCCTAAATGTACAAAATATATTAAAAAGAAATGTATATACCAATATAGATTCTTTTTTTCTAAATTCTGAGCACTGTCAAGTCTTTTGCTATTAAATGGCAAACCACCACAAGGTGTCAGACTTAACCTTTACTATATGCTTTCTCTATGCATGTGTGAGAGGGAGGGTGTGTTTCTCACAGACAGCTTTACTAAAAGTGCTAGTGCCGTTTAATAACGGCTTTGAGGTAGCTGAAAAGAAGCTGGTTTACCCTTCGTTTTCCAGCTGAAATAAGCACACTGCTGGTAAGTTGAAACACAGTGTAAACCCTCATTCAGTGAAACAAGTACAGTAGACCATCCATAGCACGCAGGACATAATAGGCATTTAAAACACTGAGTTTCAAGACTGTGTCGTTTGCATAGTGGGTGCCTTTCTGTTGTTATGGCTCATATTCAAAGGGCTTTTAATCTCCAGTATTTTCAAACTCCATATGAATAATCTCTTTGAAGTAATCATTTTTTTTTGCCAGGTTCACATGCTTGGGTCATTCAGTTTTATCTGGAGAAATTTCTTCAGTTTTGAGAGAGGCACATTCCTTGTACCTGGGAGGCAAAAGACATCAGTTGATATCTAAAAATAAAAATTGAGCAAGTAGAACCAGTGCGGAGTTTTTGTCCGGTTTGATTATCCAGCAAAATCACTAATGTAAAATCATAAAAATAACCTTCTAAGACTCCGTTTGGTTGTGTAACATCACTGGTTTGCTAATACACTATGCGTCATCTGTCACAAGTTCATCACATAATATTAGTTCTTGTTTCATCATGTCAGAGAGTCACTCATAAACAATCCAGAACTGAACCTTTTTTCTTTTCCCCAAAAGACCTTGAATTTCAATAAACATGTGCATGGATACATTTTGTGCCAATGGTTTTTTCTTTCAAGAACCTTCTTGAATGTTTTTTGGTGATGTATTTAGTTGGCCGTGTACTCTGATGTTTAGATGGTTTTAAACATCACATAATTATGTGAATATATTGCAAAATGCTCTGTATTCATAAAACAAAACAGGCGAAACAAAACAGTTCCAGTTTTGTTTTCTCTAAATGTAAAATTCACCACAGCATTCATTATGACAATGATATATTTGATTAATATATTTTTCAGTATAATGGCTTTTGTCATTTTGGGGGGTTTATTTTGTTTTTGCTTTTTAGTTCAGTTCAGTTCATTTTTATTTCAAACATTTCAAACATGAGCCTTCACAATCATTACAAAATATCATTCCATTATTTGTTTGAAAAGGAGTAGGCAGAAGTATTTACTTATTTGTCCCTTTTACTTATTTTTGCTTTTTAAATGGACTATTCAGGATAAAAGTTTGCAACCCATGTCTATGTTTGTCCCACAGGTTTAACATCAAGGTGAACCTGCAGCTCGTCACTAGCTTTATGCTGACTGGCATTTCTGTTGGAGCAAAGTATGCTCAGAATGGACAGCTTTTTGCACGTTTCAAACTCAATGAAACACTTTCTGAGGTAAGTTGTCTGACTCTAATTTCAGCTACCATACTGCTTTCCACCTTGTTTTTTTGCCGTTTCATTCTTAGTACTACTTAGTGGCACTATATACCAAGAACATCTGTAAGCTAGCTATCTTGAACAGTGATTTCTGTTTTGAACACCAGGACACACTGGCTGGGCGGCTAGTGATGACCAAGGTAAATTCAGTTCTGCTGCTACCTTTGGGCCGTGAAGCGATCAACAGCCAGCCGCCTCCTGGAGTTAAAGAGCGTGTTTATGAGGCTGTGATTGAGGAGAAGACTAAGGATTACATCTTCCTAAGGATCTGCAAGCACTGCTGTGAGGAACTTGGGCTGCTGCCTGACAGAGAACTACAGGTATGGTGAACCACACTTCATGTGCTTAGACATGTGGCATCACCTACATTAAATAAGGTTTGGTGAGGGCTGGTAAATGCTCTCTTATAAAGCATACTTTTTTCCCACATGCAGCCTGAGAACAACATTCTTGTCATGTGGATTTTCTAACCTTGAAAATTTGAATGAAAGGTTCACTGCTTAATTATCGTTTTCGCAAATGATTGCGGAGGTTTCAAGGAAAACTGTGTCTGTGTTGTGCATCCATGTCAACACTGATGGAATTGTTTTGGAAATTTATTTTTGCAATAATGCTATCTTCACCAGCCTCAGCTTGTTAGTTTGTTTGTTCCCCCCCAAGCCTGAATGTTGTCAGGGGAAACAAGACACTGTGTTAATGGTTATCAAAACAACTCCTCATTCTATCACTGTGGGAGCATAATCTTCTTTTTTTCTGCATATGCTTCTCCTGCCTTCTTATGTGCTACAATTCCATTTCACTGTCTCCTCTGTGGGTTCTTATTCCACACAGCCTTTGAGCTCTTGAATGTCTCTGACTTTCTGTACTCTTGTACTCATTGTTTATTTCATGCTTAAGCTTTCATGCTGTTTTTGTAAATGGTTTTAGATGTTTTCATTTGACTAATAAAAAGTGGATATATAGTGCAGCGCAAGCATGTCTTTTCACACTGTTAATTAGACTTGCTCAGTCATAAGTGTTGCAGGTGGCTTTCTTCCAAGGTTTAGCAATTTTTGAGAAGATTAAGAGAATGGGATGCAGCGAATTTTAGTCAAAATCTTAGTTTTGAATGGACAAGAATATCCAGCTCCATAGCAACTGCACAGCTTGTGGGCTTGATTTGTTGGTTTAGGTGGTCATTTTATCTAAGCACTTGTGTATATTAATATTTAAAATGTTCTCACAGATGCAGACTTTGCAATGTGATGCAATTCATTGCTTGCATAAAATAAATTATTTTAGTAAAAAAAAGTAAATTCACATCATGAAAGAGAATCATGAGCACAAGCTTTAAACCAAAAGATGCACACAAATACCTTAATGAACGAATTGACTGGAATTATCTTTATTTTTGTTTTAAAATTTTGTATGATTTCTTGGCATGGATGGATATAGACAATTGTGTTGATAAACAAGCTCTCTGTGTTGTGTCTGCCAGGTGGAGCTCCAGTTCCAGCTGAACAGACTGCCACTCTGTGAGATGCATTATGCCCTGGATCGCATCAAAGATAATACTATCCTTTTCCCTGATGTTAGCCTTGTCCCTACTATCCCCTGGAGTCCCAACAGGTGTGTACTCCACCATGTACACAATGTCACACACATAAGAACACACTTGATGCATTCATTTTTATGATAATGCATTGATTGTTAGGGCACTAAAGTTAAATCAGTGGGAACTCGGAGACACAAAAGTTACATATAAATAATAAATAATTGGGATCAAAGGAAATTTTTACTTTGTACACATGGCAGGCTGCTTTATGTTGCTTTTATACTGAGGATATGACTGGCAGATATTTGATCTAGTAAAGGCTGCATCTACTTTAATGTTGTTTAAAAGTGAGGGAAGATATTTGCATGCAGCTTTTGCATTCAGATGCAACTAATCCTAAACACATTTATTATAACTCTTTTAATACGTCCACATCCTTATAGTTTGACAGATACTCTCACAGAGGGGTCACCACACCAAATCAAAAGTTAAATGAAGACTTCTCCTACTTTTAGCAATTTGGAAATGCTCACAGCTGCCTAAGCTTTAAATTTCTCTGGTGACAGGTGAGGGAAGTGAGACGGTAATCTTTATTGACAAGAGCAAAAGTCAAATATAATCCCTGTGGTTGTCTTAGCTGCTGCTTTATCTGAGCTCCATAATAGGATTCGTGTGGATTTTTGTTTTAATTGGAATTTGGATAAACGTGGGTTTTTGATTAAAGAAGGAGCAAGAGGTGAATTTGGCTTTAGTTTAAAAGCACACTTTCTTTATGGTAGGTATTTGTGTTTTAACATCAGCTCCATGGTGCAAACATTTGCGTAAACTTTGGAATTACCAGGATTTTTGCATTGATTACTCAAACGTATGGCCTGACGTTTATGTGAGTCCCGTTATAGACAGTCACAATCTGGCTTAACTAATAACTAACAGTAATTTAGAAGTCTCTGTACTAATGAGTTCATTAAGCACTACTTGCAGCCAGGCATTTAAGTTAACGAGCTCATATTAGACGTTGATGTGTTGATGTGGCAGCTCTTTCCTTATTTAAGGAAGTCATTGTATGAATTTTAGTGAAGTCTACTATATTCAAAAAGATTTATTGGTGTGAGCCATGCCTTCAAGAAAAACAACTTTCAAAGAAACTTCACAGGATGCTATGGCATGATCAAACTGTTCAATCAAGATGAAACTATAACAGTTTATTTCTGAGTAGTTATTAAAAACATCTAATGGAGGTGCCAGAGGAGGTTCTGCAAGTCGGATAGTTTAAGGCTTCACTCAGTCAGTTACTTACAGGGATTACTTGGTGTATTCATTTTAGATTTTGATACATACAACTGTGTATTATTAGTTTAGACAAACTGGTTTTTTTGGGTTGTTTTTTTTTTTAAATTAATTTCATAGAAACTTAGACATTTTATGCATAATCTGTTCAGAAATTCATTCAAGTAAAGTGGTTCAGATTCTTATCTTTTAACTCAAAGTGTCGATAAACCCATAATAGTGTATTAGTGGTGCATTTAAACCTGATTTTTTTTGTTGTTGGTTTTTTTGTTTGTTTTTTGCGCATCTTACCCTAACCTCTTGCTAACTTTAGTTAGTTTTGGTAAGAGTTTATAGGACTAAAGGCAGACTTTGGTGTGTAGTAAAGGTTGGGTGATATCTAAAATTTTTCCAACCGACATTCATCAGTCCAATAAATGACGATAGGCAATAAATTTACGGATGTGAAGCAAAAAGAGCCGTCAGGAGCTAAAAATTAAACTTTAGACTAAAACGTTAGGACTGGCTTTTTCCCGCAGCACGCCGTGTAATAAATACTCAAAGAAAACGGCAGCCGCTACAACTTATGTCTAAAAATGTATAGTTTTATGCATCGGTTAAAACACTCGACTCCAGGTACATGACGCCCAGCTGGAAACACTTCACGCAAGTCGAGCTGCCTGAGACTCACAGAATTTACAGAAAATGTTACATTTTTGTGATTTCTATCGTTATCGGGACGATAGATGTCTTATATCGGGATATGAGATTTTGGTCATATTGCACAGCCCTAGGAAAGGGCCATCCCTAGAACTATTCCCACAAAGTTGGAAGCATGAAATTATCCAAAATGTCTTCGTATTCTTGAAGCATAAGGACTTTTACTGGAACTATTGGGGTTAAGCTCGATTCCTGATAACAACTCCACACCATAAACCACCCTCCACCAGATTTTACTTGGCAAAGTGCGATCAGACAAGTACTGTTCTTCTGGCAACCGCCAAACTCAGACCCGTTTACTAGATTACCAGACGTCGAGTGTGATTCTTCACTCCAGAAAATGTCTTCACTTCTCTAGAGTCCGATGGCGCTGTGTTTTATACCACCACATCAAAACTTTGCTTTGTGCTTGAATATTTTAGGGTTGCTGCTGATCAGCCATTCCATGAAGCTCTCTGCACACTTGAGCTTAAGAACCAAATCAAAGAATGTCAGTGAAAGAGCCTTGACTTGGTCTTAAAATTTCTTTCCATTACAAATTGCTTACCTTTAATAAGTCAGATGTTTTGATTTATAATAAATGGTCTGCTTTGACTGTCAGCAATTGGCATGTCCTATTTATTTATATCAAGGTAAGGTATGAAGGAAACAAAACAAAATGCTTGTATAGAAAGTCTTGTTGGGATTCAAGAGTTGAAGCTGTTTGTAACTTGTAGAATATTCCTTAATTTTATGCATCCCTTTTTGTTACGCACATACTTGTGCAAATGCTGAGATTGCTCTCATTCCCCCAATTACAGCATCTCTCAGTTGGAGTTCAATCAATTGACTCTGGGGAATTCACAGCTTTAGACGATGCAGTCACCATAATGATGATAGTGATGCATGGAGACATGCACGCATGCTACATTTACAGTAATTCACAAGTATCAAATCAGATGTGAATCATTTTCTCCTACCTTTCTGTCTTGTTTAGCACACAAATTACAACTGCTTAGTTGTGAATATTTACTGGTCATCCTAAAACTACATGGAATTTGAAAAGTTATGTTTTTTTCACATTTATAGAAATGCATTCAGACACGTTCCGTACCATATTTCCTCTGGAGAGCTAGTTTCATGCAGTTGTGAAACTTGCATGATATATGACTTAATTTGACCTGGCCATCAGACACATTAGCATGTCTTAGTTTGTCTAATACTGTAAATGTCTAATGAGTCAACTTCATAACCCAACACAAATTGATCAAAAAGAGAAATGTGCAGGGTGTTTAGTTTTTCCTTTTCAAAGTTGTAACTGTCCTCCTGAGACCCAGCCTATTCATTATGTCCTCTGTAGTGGACAAAAACAGTTAAACTGAAAGATGCTACTTTTTTTTTTCTCTCCCTCTATTCTCAGTAGGATATGGGCAAACATTGGGTCACCTGCACATAACAACTATATGAGGTTTTATTATATCCCATTCTTAATCCATAGATATTAGCATGGAATTTATCTCCATTTGCAGCAATAACAGCTTCGACTCTTCTGAGTTGGCTCTCAAAATTTTGGAATTTGTCTGTGTGAATTATTGACCATTCATCCAGAAACCCCTTTGTGAAGTCAGACACTAATGCTTGACAAGAAGCCTGGGCTCACAACTTTGTTCCTAGTTTACCCTAACAGTGTTTGGTACGGTTGAGTTCTGCACTTTTTGCAAGTCAGTCAAGTTCTTTCACACCAGACTGGTCTAACCGTGTCTTATGGACCTTAATTTGTGCACTAGGGCACAGTCATGCTGAAACGGAAAAGACCCTTCAATAAAATGAATCATTATCAATTCCCTTCACTGGAACTGATGGGCCCTCTCTGCCAAACTTTATAGTTTGGTGAAGGTGATGTGGAGATAACAGTCCCAGACTTGTTTGGCAGACTGCTAGCTGAAGTTGCGACCGAGTGCTTTACACTTTTCGGTGCTTGGTATTGTTCTTGGTGATGTAAGACTTGAATGCAGCTGCTTGTCCATGAAAATATCATGAAGGTTCTGGTATCCAGTTACAATACCACACTCAAAATTCATTGTGCCCTTTGGAATGACCCATACTTTCCCAAATATTTGTAAAGGCAGGCTATATGGCTTGGTGTTTCATTTTTTGTTTTTACTGAAAACATTTAAATCCACATTTCTTACCCCCTTTCTCATCTGCCCCTCGTCTTCCATAC